ACATAAGTTAACTAACTATAACATCCTACCTCCCTCTTGCACTTTAACTTTTATTAAGCTAACTTTAGATAAATTGTAACATTCCTTGTTCAGTGCAATCTTGAGGCTCACTCAAGAAACCGGTTGGATTCATTTCCATGAACGTATATTATAAATTAATGGGAATTCTTTGTTCTAATCTCCGCTTTTTCTCCTTGGAGATAGGTGATATTATAATACTTTAAAGACTCATTATTATTATTTGATAGATAATTATGAATTCAAGGAAATAAGGATTGTTACAAATGAAAGAATATTAATGGTACCGTAATTTGAACACACAATGCTCAACAACAGCGAAATATTCAGTTATGTTTAATGCAAAACCAGTGATGTTATTCTTAGTCTTAAGAATTGATGCACAAAAACTTGTGACATGGAGGAAAGTTGTTTTTTTTTCTTGCTTTGTTTTGTATGTGTTGTTTTGTTTAAAAAGAATAAAAATATATATTTTTTAAAAAGATGGAGAACACTTTTGACGGAGCTTAGTCCAAGGGGAATGCAAGGAACACACACCAGGACAAGAGCCAAAGTCATCCAGTTTTTTTTATTTTATTTCAAGGCAAACAGCTGTTTTTAAAAAAAGGCCGACGGAGGGGAGACTCATCTTGCTGTGCTCCTGCCAGTCCGAGAGGCCCAGGGCCTTCCACTCCTTCCAGAATGAGCTGCCTCTGTAAGGGACGAGGCTGGAAGTCCAGGCTGGGGGACTGGAGGTGGTGGGAGTGGGGGTGTTGCTTTAACACCGTGTTGCTCCAAGCAGCACAAACCACTCCCGGACCGCAGGCTGAAGGACTCGCATTTCCGTGCAGTTTCTCTGCAGATGCTTTGACCGCTGCACCCAGGGGCAGAGGGGCTCTGGGGAGAAGGGAGCCCTCTTTCCCACTAAGTCACATGTTTCAGGTGTCCTGCAAAGAGAGAAAATACAAGCCTGTGCCCTGCTGGGGCCCTCGGGGCCCACCCTCCGATTGTCTCTCCCCCCCCCCCCAGACGGGAGCAGAGAGGACCCACCTTTCACACAGCTAAGGATCTCTTGGATACGGTGAGGCTCATTCCTGTCTGGCCGGCAACTGGGAGTGATTTCCAGCACGTAGTCAGGGCCGTATTCCGTGAAGAACTGTGAGAGGGAAGGTCTTTTCTCAAGAGCCAGCCAGGGGTGGCCCATGCATGGCTGGATACCCTGGGCCATCCGCCCACTTCCTCCCTGCATTCCCAGCCTCTGCCTTGAACAGCGGCAAGTTCCTTCAAACGTCGATCATCATGGGTGTATTGCAGGGGGTCTCAAGCATTCTCGACTACCCAGAGGTGGGTTCCTACCAGTTCGCACCTATTTCGGTAGAACCGGTTCGTCAAATCTACCGAACCAGTTAGGAGAGGTTCCACCAGAAAGCAGGCGACACCTACAGAAGAGGTTCCAAAATTTTTTGAAACCCACCACTGACACACACACACACACACACACACACACACACACACACACACACACACACACACACACACACACACAGAGAC